CATTGAAAGTACTTACAAATATGACTTAATTTTAATTCTTACATATTTGTATATGTTTTAACATATTTGGAACATCAAAAGACATTTCTTGTTTAGCTCTAATTATATAAAACTTTATTACAAAACATTTTTTAATTTAGAAAAAAGAAAGAATTAAAAAGGAGGAGTGAATATTTTACAAATTGGTCTTTATCTAATTATAGAAAATGCATAGTTGATATGTAAATAACAGATCTTCAATATTAGTATAGATCATGGCATACTTCATTTGTCAATATTATATATTTAATTGTGTACAATTACATTTTAGGAACAGTTGTGGTTGAATTTTTTCATAAAATTGGTGAACTGGTGATTTAAGTAATTCCAAAATGATTTATTCATGTGGCCAATTGTAAAATAAATTTATCTGTTGTATGTTTGACTGATAAAAACATTTCTGTATATCAAAGACTAAAAGGTAGCTGTTTTTACAAAAGTTACGATGTAATTAATGCAAAAAGAAATCATATAAAAAACTTGGCTTTTGGTAAAATAACATATTATTATTCACAAGTCACAGAGATGCAGAAAAAGTTTCATCTCCAAGTTGCTTTGAGACTTGTATAACAACAAAGTAATTTACATTTACATTAGTGTAAAGATGATGACATTTTTTGTAGGAAAATTTAGAGAATAAATTTGGATCTACCATTACATAGTAAAATGTAAACAGCAAAATATGATTTGGAAATATTCCTGTTTTAATCTTTTTTGATTGAGATTATTTTATTGAGTGATAAATTTATTCTCATTTCTTTTGACTGGTTCTTAGAGAGATTAATTCTTATACATGCTGAAAAAATTGTATTATAAATGCTAACATATATGTGAAAATTCTGTTAAATATTTCTACTATAAATTATTAATACAATCAAATTAGAACAGCTGTTCTCAACCGGTATTCCACAGAACACAAGTGTTAAGCAGACTTGTCTAATTGTTCCATGAAAAAAGTTTTAAGTTTACATTAAAAATGTATTCCAATGTACTACAACATATTACTTATTAATTTATTTGTAGAAAATTCCATATTTACTATTTTAATTAATATAATAAAGTTTATTAATTTATTGTTTCTCTGTTTCATGAGAATAGTAAATATGAAATTGCTTATTGATTTTTTAATATATTAATGCTAATGTTCCATGTCATAAAAAGTTAAATGGTTTTCCACAGCCTCAGAAAGGTTGAGAACCATTGGATTAAAGACAAGACTTCCAGATGGAAAATTGTTCACAATTTCATCCACAGCTGTTTTGATCTCTTTGACCTTTAAAAAAGTTGTCAGTGAGGATAGATATTTTATCAATGGATGTACTGCAGTTATCAACAATCCTGACAATAAAATTGAATGACTAGTAGTGATAGGATATAACTGGAGATTATGTTTAGAAATAGAAGAATTATTTGTTGTAATTACTAAATTTATAAATGTTGACACTTTTTTAAATTATTTAGTTTCTTGTAAAATATAAGTAGTAAGTGGTTTCAAAAATAAATTTAGTTTTATTTGTCCAGATTATTTTGATTGACCTTCATAAAAAACTTTGTATTATGATAAGAAATAGAATAACTTTGCATCCCAATTTGGTTTTAATGTTAATCTGAAAACTGAGTTGGTTACAGATATTAAAAATAGTTTAAAATGTATTTTTATATTAAATTTTAGATTGGACAAAATATTTTATATATTTGAAATCTTTCTTTTAAAAAGTATTTGTATTTCAGCTATTTACATTACATTTGTATATATATATTTATATTAAAAACTTTAAAATTAAAAAACTGGATTTATATAATTTAGAAATTTAGATAAATTAGGTTTACGTTTTTATTATGATTATATTGTATAGTAAGATGAATATTATTTATTACACATGTATATTCTCATAATATCGACAGATGGAATAATAATTCATAGAGTTAATAATTATAATACATTTTAAAAGATTAGAAAAGAAACTCTTTCATTGGTCACGTTTTTCGAGGTGAGGAGGTGGTCCATTTTTCCGTTCAGTACAGTACATCACTACAATATATTTGCGTGCACACATCATGATTAAATTCTACGTTTGGTTATGTTTATCTGGTTTCCAGACGGAAAGGATGGTGGGGATAGGGCCACTCCCTAAACATTATCAAAAATATTGTAATCGGGATCAGGTGTATTCTCAGTTTCGATCGTCTATTGTAATTAGAAGTAGATGGAAGTTGAATTGCAAGATTTAAGAACATGATACAATGCAAGTCGAATAAAAACGTTTAAAAATATCAATAAATAAGCTTTTATTCGTTTAAATAACAAAGAGTACTTGAGAAAGAATTTTTTAAACTAAACAAAAAATAAGTGTTTATTTAAAAAGAAATTTACATTCAACTTGGAGGAGTAACTTCGCTGTCAAATACAAGATTGCTCGTTGTCTAAACATTATGTAAGCCTGCAAAATATAACAAAATAAATATAAAACGGTTGCCAAAGATGTCTGTTTGCTTTGCACCAGGCATTATAATGGTCAGGGTCACCAAATACACTCAATTCGCTCACCTCTGACTCAACCGTCGTTTACAGTTTACTCATTTAATCCAGTACACAGCCGGTGACCTCGCAATAGATACTCCTCGCGACTTTTAAAGAACTCCCCATCTGCTTTCTTTAAAAAGCGGAATAATCCGTCTTTCAAATATTTGTATTCAATTGAAGATACTTAACACTTCTATCTACAGATTCGGATGCCGTCTAATGAATCACTGATATCGTCGACACAAATTCCTGCTTTTTTAATTTTTAATGTTTGTTACCGTTTTTATTTATTTATTTTTCGTTTTTTTAAAATAGTCGCGAAAAATTTACGCTTTTTCTACCACGACTTTTTCGTCTCCGTTGTGTAGAGGAGTGAGTATTTGACATTGAAAAGTAACAAATTGGAAGACTGATACGAAATACTAACGAGCGACGTTAACTGATCTCTTTAGATCGATCGTAGACGTATTTTTTTTTTTTTATTTTTTATAAATATGACGACCTGTCAAATATTCAATATCTCGTCAGTTCAAGGTGCTAAAAGCAGTGATCGCAATTGCGTAACAGAGTTCTTAGTATTCAGTCTACTTCGTAACGCGTTAAATTTCGAAGCGTGCCGTCAAAAGTATGAAAGATGGTAAACGATAATTGTCTCCACTATTTTACTTCGCCTACTTTTTTTTTTTTTTTTGTGATAGTCACCGGAAGAAGGGACGATAAAGTCGAGTTTACGGTCGTAAATAGGTATCATCCACTCGACCTTTCTCGTCGATAACGTTAGGAAGGAATCCACCACAAGAATCGAATTAATGGAGTCGAATTCGATCCTTTGATTTTTTTTTCGAGGCGACGAATTTATTTCTGCAGGTTTATTTTGTTTCTCGAGAGGTCGAGAGGAATCTTGCAGTTAATTCCGCAATCACGTTCTTCACCTTGTAGTTGCGAAGGTAATCTTCGTTGTGGATCGTCCGTCTACAAATTTTCACGTGTTGATACCGCAGTAGATTTTTCTTTTTAAATGCGATAGAAACGTAAGAGTTATCGTCGACGGCATGTAATTTTTTGCTAGGTTTTTTGTAGCGGTATCGTTAAATGTGTCGCCATACTTTATCCGACGTTAGCGATAAGATAGAATTCATATTTTTTGTTAATCTCTTTAGATCTGGAACAGTTTGAACAGTAAATAATAAGTTGTTATTATTTTCTTCTTTAAATTACTCAGTTATTTCGGAATTACGTTTGTTGTTTTGTTAAGTGAAAATGATTTTTTTTTTTTTGTTCGCGAAAGCCGTGAACAAAGGTTTCATGAGCGTCGTTTCCAATACAGAATAGCCATTAAAGAGCAGAAAATCAAAAGACAAATCTCGAAACGATGTTCCCATTTACGAAAAGCAAATGATGAGTTCTGGTCAAGTCGGTTTGAGAAGAGACACCGCAAGAAAAAAAAATATTTTATTTTTTTTTAGAAGTTAGACTGCGGTCACGCTTTATTATTTTCCACTGGATTTCGATCGAATTCCGGAAGCTCTTTCACTTCAGGTCGTCACGACTTCGCCTCTTTCACCCGTAAGACTCAATTGGGAAAGGATCGGCGGAAAAGATCATCGAGCAATTCTCCGCTCCTTCCAGAGAAACCTGGAATTCCCGGAAAAGGAAGTTTTCCGAATTGAATAAGTCCGAGCCAAATCCTTTCTCTATTAACGGGTGGCATCGTCGATGCCCTTCCGATTATCGCCAAACTGGTCGAAAATAAATTTTTCCGGTTGGAGAACGAATCGTTATTCTTTTCGAATATTTCATTTTAAAATTAAAATTATGTAAATATCGTATTAAAAAATATATTTCAAGGTCTTCCGTGTCGCCATCTCTCGGTAATCGTTCTAATTATGATTCATTATAATTAAATCTAGGAGTCGCTCCTTCATAAAATTGTTTTTCGTTAATTTTAATAATTTAATCCTATTAATTTAATATTAAATCTTCGTTTATGTATTCTACAAACGTAATAAGATACTGTTTTTTTAATACTTAAATTTTCCAGTCCTTATGTCATTCATAGACGGACTTCAATCTTTGGAGCGAGGAAGCGACGCGTGGAAAAAAATTTTCATGGCCGACGCGTCGCGTGACGTGGCCAGAGGCCGCAGCCGACGTCTCGGACGAAATATTTCCGTCTTTAACTGCGGAGGTGGACTAACGCGGCGAAGGACGACACAGACGTTTAATTAGCGCGTTACGGTTTCCGCTACAGAAAGCTGCCGTCTGTCCTTCGCTTCGTCGCTCGCGCCGACGCGACGCGTACACCAGAGAACCGCCCGATTTTGCGAAACGTTAGTAACGAATTGTGTCGGTTGTAAGCGATACGTCGGTTCGAGGTCGTCCGAAGAATAAATCTCGACTTTATAACATAATGTTACATTATGGCTTTTTTTTTTAGGTCCAAAAGATGGTGGGAGCCGCCGTGAGTTACGCGGAAGGAAGAATCTCGCCGCGCGACTCGGAAGGGACACGGACCATTCCGGGTCACCAACCGGAATTGGAATATAAGCACTCTTCCTCCCGACTGTGTCTATAAGTACCGAGTCGATTACCGTTCCGGAGTTACGGTACATTTTTTTCCCCTGTCATTTTTTTTTCGAACGATTTCCAGAGGGGGCGGGAGCGTCGGCGGAGGTTTACGTCACGTCTATATTAAGATTTGGCGGGGTCAATTTCCGAGGGACGACGCGAAGGTGGTTTTCTGCCGAGAGAACCTTTATTCCACCACAAAAACGAGTGGAAGAAAATTAGATAAAGCGTGCACATCGGCGGGCGCCCGACCTACATCCGCTTTATGATTTACGGCCTAAATTTAACGGTTCTTAAAGGGTAAAGTTAACGAGAACGAGGCCTTTCGGCATTTTTTGGAAATCATCTAGACAAATTAATTGTTACAATTAAAAAAAAAAAAACAAGTGGCTCTGCCTTAAATTTAAAGTAAAAATCCTACACGTAGGAAGACCGGCCGTCGACATTATAATTAACGGTGATTTTTATAATTACTGACGAATTAACATTAAATTTTTTTTTATGGAATTAGGAAGGAATTGTGGAGTTTTAAGGATGGCGGAAATGTCTGTCGATTGAAATTTTTCGGTGGGAATAGATTTTATAGAGAGTCAGTTGTTGTCGACACTTAATCCTCGAAGAAAAGGCGAAAAAAAAGGCGGAATTTCCTGTTGTCGTCCGATCTTTCTCTAAAGTCGTTCCGATTCTTTTCAGATTTGAAAATCGAGTCGAGGGAAGACGGAAGAACGATTCCAATGCATTTGTTTACGTCTGGACGAAGCCGACGTTCCCCGTTGAAAGTGCACCAGTATTTCATATTTGTCTTATTTATTTTTAATAAAAATAATCAAAGTTTAAACTAACCTCGTCGTATTCTACCATTCAAATAAATTGATAACTGCCGACTGACGACCTGGTTAAATAGACAAACTACACGAGGACATCCACTTTCACCGATTCCGATCGAAGGGGTTCCTTGGTTAACAGATCTTCCTGGCTTTCAGACTTTAAATTTCGACGTCGCGGCCGGCGGAGATTCGGGGCGGTAGAAGATCGAATTTGTAAAGAGAATTGAGTGGCGCGTGTCGGATTATGGCGCGAGTGACGGCCACGAACAATAAATTAATGAATAAATCATTAATATGTAACAGATTGATGTCTCGTTAAGGAGAAGTTCTCATGCACTATTCATTGTCCGCTTCTTTTATCTTCCGAGTGGAATGACCTGATGGGAATGTTTTCCCTCCAAACAACAAAAAAAAAAAAAAACAATAACCTTCCGATATATTCCGTCTGTAATTTGGAATTATTCTTTATTTCGTTTTTAGCAAATTCCGCCGACCAATCCTAATTATAAAATTTAATCTATTTTTGGAAGCGCTTTTACGCTGTCTGCTTTTCGCTTCCCGAATAAATTACAAAAAAGAGAGAGAAGTGGACGTAATCACGTCGGTCTCACCTCCACTAACTTATATTCCGACGTCGGGGGTAATCTAATGGCGGTTTGTTTAAACTAATTTAATTTTTGAGACGTTAACCATAAATCCCGAAGATAGCGTATTCGTATTTGCCTTTTAAAATTTAATCGCCGGTTTTTATCCTTCCAAATTGATCTTTCTTTACTAACTAAACACAAAATAATTCTCCCCGGCAAATTAGTTTTCTCCCTCTTTTTTAAATATGAATTTATTTCGGAGAATTAACAAGAAATTTGCACTGGCAAGAAGAGGAGAGGTACTTTCCCCACATTATTTATAAGAGGGAGAAAAACGCCGAGTGGAGGTCAAGAACGACTTTTTTGTTTGGAAATAAGTCCGCATTTAGAATGGAAGAACAGAACAGGTTTTATTCCGGAGAGTCGTGTTTAGCAACATTCGAGAAGCTATTATTCTCTCAGAACCAACCGCGTCGCTCTTCTTTACAAAGTTTACAAAGCGCGAAATTTTAGCGCATTGCAGGTCTTTTAACTCCATACGCTTCTCCCGAACCGAACCCTCCCGAAATATTTTTCCCTCTCATACAAAAACACTTGGATTTTCTTGTCTTTTTGGATAATAAAACCTTCTAAAATCGTCCTTTGTGGAGAAATTAAAGAGAAACGGTTTTGTGGTACTCCGGAAAGATTTTATTGCGGACGTGAATCGTTTCATCGATCCGGAAACACTCGCCAACAAACGAGCTTTTTGTTTACGAAAAAAGTAAAGAAAGTGGGACGAGCGCTTCCGATCGTCTGTCTCCCCGAATGCGTCCTTACAAACGCTTCCAAAAATAAAACAAACAAAAACAATAGGCAATAACTCGTTTCCCCGGGTGAAGATCGGCGCTTTACGTAACGAAAGCGTTAAAAAATTTAATTGGCCACAGAGTTTTTAACCCAACGAATTTCGCGGAAGAAGAAATCAAAACAGACCTCGGACTCGGAGAGGGGATTGAGTTTCTCTCGAGGAAAAACCGCATCCTTTTCGTCTCTAGAAAACCAGGAAACGTTTCTCTCCTTTCCGAAGTAATTACACGAAAAGCGGTAATTATAAAGAACCGGTGTCAAAGGTTAATCCGTCACCGCACGAGTTCTTTCGCACGTAAACTGACCGGCATTTTATGGGATAATAAGTCTGGTTTAGAAGGAAGGAAGGAAGGACTGTATCCTTATTTACCGAAAACCGAGATCCTTCTAGGGCTACTTAGGTTACATAAATTTGCGTTCGAGTCTTAAATGGGGGCGACGGTCGATTCTCTAAAGAGTCACGTGTCGAAATATTATTTTTGTCCCGATTTGATACCACGTGACACCGTTGTCTTCGGAGAATTCGCGTGACCGCGGTTATCGGAAGTTTGGACGATATTCGAAATTCCACTTTTTCTATTTAAAGAAGCGAATTATCTTTTCGGACCGGAAGAGAGAATTCTCGGAGGTTGCCTAGTAAATAACGTCGGAGGAGACGTTCGGTAATTGTGTTAGGAGCGACCTATTTCCGGCCGACGATAGTCATCGTCCCGACCAAAAGAGAATTCCAATTAAATTTGAAGAAGCCATTTCCAATCGGAATCGCCGATTAAAAGAAGTTCGTCCTCTTTACTATTTCTTTGCCGCGCGCTTCCTCCTCCGTTCTACAAATCCTCTTAATTAATCCTTTTAACAGAATCTCCGTTTCTTCTTTCATTCTCTAGTCATTTAAATAATTCGTCACCTCTTTGTCTGTTACTTTTCACCATCCGCATTTAACTATTCTGAATGGTAATTTTCATCTCTGTGATGATGCGGAAGATCGCTGGACTTCGATGTAAGAGCGCATAATTTCTCGCAGCGTACAAATACAGAATACTGTAATATAGGAACGGCAATTGTCGTCTTCGACTGCACCGGCTATTGTAATGATAGAACGGCGATACAACTGGTAGTCTTCAATCGTTTATCTGTTGCGCTTCGCAACACGTTTGCAGAGTACATTTTTAGAAGACGTTCTCTTCGCTAGAAAGTGGGAGAAGAATAATAAACAGTAGTCTATGCGTAGGCTTAATAGGTAAAATAATACCACGAATTGGAAAGCGGAGATTAAAATAGAATTTTTCCAAAAATTTCGAGAAATCTAAACCTTTTCCCGATTTTCTTATTGAAAATACAGGTTTAAAGATTGATTTTAATTTAAAAATAAACAATAATTAGTTAATTAAAGACGTTCGTGTTAATTAAATGATAATGAGGGAGAAGAGAAAAGGGAATGTTAATTCCTTGGATGTTATGCGCGAATTTACTCATTAAGTAAAATCCAAAACCTTCGCATTTTTAGAAAAATCTTAAAAGATTAAATGAGAAATTCAAATACATTTTAATTCGATTAATCCGGGAATTTTTACGGTTATTTTCGTCCGGAACTCGGATTCTTCTTCATTTTTTTAATTAACAAATTGAGCAAAAAATGAAACTAAATTATCTTTTTCTCCGTTTTCCTAAAAAGAAAAAAAAAAGGACGGAAAAAGTCGGTTATCGCATCTCGTCCCAATTTAAAAATTAAATTGCTAAAGGGATGTTTTTTTTTTTCAGTTCAAAATGGAATGGACGAAAGTAGATACCCGAATAGAAATGGATGCGGGTGGATAAATATCGTTTCGTAAATCCTCCAACGAAATTTAGAACGTAAAAAGTTTTTCCCGAATGAGTTTGCGCTCCGTTTATTAGAAACGATACCATTAACTTACGAATGGGCGGAAACATCAACAAACAACAAACAGCTCTGGTGTATCTTTCATAAACATCGTAAAGATTTTTTTCTTTTCTTTAAATTTGCATTTGCAACAATAATAAAAGTATATATCGGTTTACGTTTGTTAAATTATAAAATTTTACTAAAATACTTTTTCTTTATTGGTTTTAAAAAAAGTAAGGCGTCGCTTTGATGGCAAAGATCTTTACAAAAGTATAAGTAAGTTTTCTGCTTTAAAACTTGGTGCAAAGAAAATGATTTTTGCTAGAAGACAATCGGAACTGTTTAGGAAAGGAGAGAAATTCGGTGAATTTACACTCGAATAGAAAGAATTTGGTTGATAAACGAGCCGACGTTTAAAGCGAGAGGACGTAAAGATGCCCCGAGTGTAGTTCGGAGCGTTTTTTGACGTGTAAAAAGGCGTTTAAATCGGGCGGAGGCTTTATCTATTTAGAGAAGTGGAAATGGCAATCGACGACTTTATTCTTTGGAAGAGTTCCAAGAGAGAAACGCGTCTTACATATTTCGCCCGCCCCAAAACAACGCTCTCTCGTTCGTATCCGCGTGTGTCCGGGCCATTCTCGCTTCTAATCGATTCTCTCTTCCTCATTAACGCCGCTACTCCCCCTCCCAATCCGCGATTTCGATTTTAAAATGACCGCCGATAATCGCTCCCCGTTAATTCGACCTTGGTCCTTCTTCTCTTAGACTAGCCGAAATCTAATTAAAATGAAGCTCTCGTCTCGATTTTCTAATAGATTTCCTTCGAGGAAGAGCCGGAGATTTCCAGAAAAAAAAAAGAAAATTCGATCAGAATTAGGATTGTAGGAATTAAATTATTTCCAGGCACAGAATAAAGGAGGGATTTAAAATTGTCAGTAATTGTCCGATTAAAGTCGAATGTCGATTTAATCTTCGGAGTCGGATGCTGGTTTTAATTAACGAAGCTCGAATCTGGGACTCGTTCCTTCCAGTCAATTATGTCGGGAAAGGTCCCTCTTCCGCCAATTAGCGTCGGTTATTCGCCGATCGACCCCGTTTTTTTATATCCAATTAATACTATTAATCGTTAATTTTAATGGGATCAAATTTAAAGACGAATGCTTCGAAAAAGGTCTCCGCCTGCAGTTCGAACCTCCAAATTCGGATGCGTGGCCTTAACCACGCGATTAACTTCTTGGATTCCAATGGGCTCTTTCGCGGTTTTCTATTATACAATACACGGAATGGCCGGAGTTCTCGTCCCGATAGGAAAAGGAAAAGGGGGGGACGGGCCACGGTCGCGCTCCACTTTGATCTCGGTCGGTAGTCGGAGGAGAATCTCTGCGTCTCCGGCCGTTTGTTTGGCAACAATTTAGCCTCTCGCGCGACAAATCGATACTTCTCCGTAAACACGTCCCAGGATCGTCGTCGCCGCCAAACCAAAATGTCTTAAAAAAAACACACACAAAAAAATCTTCCCAATCTACCCATTGTCTTTATAATTGATTAAATATAGAAATCGGATCTGTTCGATTTTTGGGTGGCCTCCGTTTCCGAAACGTCACTTTACCCAATTAATTAATTAACGAATAAATGACGAGTCTTTTCATTGTAAAGTTCCTTATAAATAAAAAGACTCCTAACAAAATCTAACAAAGGATTTTTAAAAACGAACTTAAAATTCTTACAAGAACGTTAAATGCTTAATTTTGCTTTGGTTCGAGTAAGAATTTCCAAATTTCTTTTGTTCCTAATCTTACAAAACGAGAAAGCAACACAGCCTCACTCTTCATTGCGGAAGACGAAGTCAACTCGATTAATAATCGATTATTTGCAGCCGTTCCCTCCGAAAATAGATTTACACCTCTGTATAAAGTCCGGCAAATTCCGATCCGCATCCCTCAAACAATACTTTCTGTGGAAGAAGAAGGATCTTCCTAGCTCGTTGCACTTACTAATCCTCGGCATCCCGAAGACTTTTCTTGTCCCGACAATAAATCCTTCCATCGAGCACTCTCTAATAATTAGCAACTTTTAACTTTTCCAAACCAAACGTCTCCGAGAGGCACCCATTCTCCCCTTCGACCAGTGGACCGATCCGCCGTTACTCGAGACGATTCTCCTCCCTGCCGAGACTCATCTTCCCGACTGGTAAACGCTGAAAAATCGCAAAAAATCGGCTGAACAAGTGGAATTTCGGACAGAAAGTTTTCCGGGAAATGCCAGCAATCGGTTATTTGCGTGTTAAAGTGACTTCCGGCCGAGAGAGGGGCGATCGGGAGTCGAAACGGAGGGGAGGCGACGAAGGAAGGAACGGCCATTCAAACTTAACTCCGGCAGCGGTGCCACGGGGCGAGGCAGAAGACGGCTCGCAGCCACCGAAGTCGGAGGTCGCCACGCTCCGGAATACCGAAAAGTCCCGGACAAAATGGGGTGGCCGCCGCTCGTCACGCTCTCGGCCCTCGTCCTCGTCTATCTGTCTGGCCTTCACGCACAGGTACGTGGACCTCCGCGCGGACTCCGACTCGAAACGCGTCCGGTCCGACGATAATAAACTCCGTGGCCGAGGCCTCCTTCCTCGTGCAGCGTCGGAATGCGCGACGTTTGCCGGCAAACAGTACGCGGAAAATCATCTTCCCATCCTTGGTTTTCTTCCATTCCTAACGATAGAGGCGCTTTCCTTCCCGCAAAATCTCTTTTTATTTATAAATGGCGCCAGCCATTCTTGGGGAAAGAAAACCCAAATGCCTAATTCGCTCGGATCTCGGGATATTTTGGGTGGGAGAGTCAGCGGCCGGGTTCTTCCGGGCTAACTTGTTGCCAGACGTCTTCGCTCCGTCCGGCAACACTTTCCGCTGTCCGTCGGCGACCCTCCGAGATTTTCGGACGGAAGGTCGACGATTTTGCCCTCTTTGCCTTCCAACCAACGTTTCGGTCGGGGAACGGCGGACGACGTCTTTCTCCCGGACGCGACCCGCGCCCACGCTCCCTCCTTCCCCCTCTACGGTAACTCGATCCTCCGTCGCTAGAGGTCACCGCCAACCTTCGTCCGGATTCCGTTCCGTTGCCGCGATTTTTCGGATCTCGGCAAAACGCACGATCTTCCGAGACTTTTCTGGAAACGGACAATCTGCGGAAAATTCCATCACCGTTGTTCCACAAATCCCATTTCCGAACGCGGAAGACTTCGACTGATTAAAACGCTCTCTTTCGGAAAAGTTTGCCATTGCTTCGACCTCCGGTTTACCGAGATCATCTGTTAAAGAGGTTTCGTCGTCCGCCATTTGTTTTCGCCTGGCAACGTAAACAAAAAGAAGCGTCGATTCGATGACGGGTTCGAGTGCGTGACGAAAGCGATGACGGACGGCTCCGACGAGTGCGTAATCTTTGCCGGTTTTCTGCGGAATTATATTTAGAGCAGCGGAAATAATTTCTGCGATTTCCGGTCCGAGGAAAATATCGGCGGTTTGGCTCATTTTTTTCGTAAAAGTCTTTTTCGCGGAAGAAAAGAAACGCATCCGGAATAAGTTTGCTTTGATGCAACGTTTCCGGTCGGACGTTTTTTGTCCGATCGATGAGGAATTCCAAGAGTCCGGGTAATCTTTCCGGGACGAAATCTCTGAAGTGGACGCGGCGTCCCTTTGTCCGAACGGCGCCGGATGGCCTATATTCGGAGACGGTCGCCATGGCAACCATCTCCGTTCGGGCGATCAATTTCCATGTTCGGTTCGTCACCCGAACCCGTCCTCTAGCCACTTCTCGGTAGATCCAGAGATTCGAACCCGGAGTCGATAGGTCGGAAAATCTGTTTTCGTCTTCCGAGTCCGGTTTTACTCGTTAAACGTAGAAGGGGAACGGGTCGAACCGAAGGAAGTCGCCTTCCGTCGCTTCCTTCGGAAGGGGAGGAGGCGGGAGATACTCGACCCGCCGGACCAGTTTTTGTCCACGAAACGGGCGAGGGACGCGCGAAGGCGTTTCGATCCGCTCCAGGGAGAGAATCTGTGCACCGACCTTCGGTTAGAGTGGGTGCAAGTCGTTACCTCCCGTTCGTTCGTACTTCGCGCCAAGCTGAAAGAAACCATCCGTTCTTTCCCGGCTATTCCAACGAACGATGGTATGATGTCGGAATTCTGCGGACGGAGGATGGCTCTCGCCGTCATATTTCGGTTTTTTTTTTTCCATGTTTTTGACATACCTACATCGGTCGAGAAACGTTAGAAGAAAGTGGTTCGGATTCCGGCGAAAAACATGGTTGTATTTTTTAACTTACGGGCGAATCGACAAGCGTCGATGAAACGAAGGGCACGGAAGATGTCCCCTACCTGGAGAGACTTGCCAAATGTTAATAAATTCGGCCTAGAAGCGACAATACTTTCGTGTAATTTAAATATATCTTATTTTACATTGGAGATTTTCTGATCGACCGTCACCGGGGAGCGACTTTTCAACTTCGAAAGTCATCCAAGGATTAATTCTTTCCGAGAAAATTTTAAATTTGATTGGAGTCGAATTTCTTCTCCAATAATCTCCAGCGTTAATGCGACACTCTAAAGGAAGAGGGTGCCCTCCTTCCGAGATGATTCCGGCCACGAACGAAGATTCCGTCACTCTTTGACGGAGTCGACGAACGAACGGCATTTAAGGTCGAGCGTTTCGTGTAAGATGGAGGCGAAATCCCATTCCGATGCGTGGGTTTTTGTCTCACTCCGCTTCCGAATGCAGGGTTTTCCGTTAGGTTGGCTGAATGGACGTCCGTTATCGGAAATTTCTATCCTCTTTTTCCTTTTTTTGGTGGACAGAAAACCGAGAATTTTTATTTTATTCTTCGACTTAACGGGAGTTAGAGCGATTTCGCGGCGGTAAGTTTAGGGTTAGAGGGGTGTAGATAAAGAGGCGGTAGTTACGAGACTTCTGGTCGAAAATAGAAAGAGAACCTCGACACTTTTGGGACGCTTCCAGACCGAGAAAAATCTTAATCGCCTTTTGGCTCTTCTTCCTTAACGCGATTACCTCCGGGTTATCGCCGACCGACCACTGTGGTATTATTCATTCCCCTAGAAAGGGATCCTCTTCCCATCCTTCCCCTTTCTGCAAAAATGAGGCATGCCGTTAATACGTCATTTTGGAAAAAAAGAAAAAGGGACGGTTTCGGCCCGCACGAAGGGCGACGAGCGAAGAATCGACGAGGAACGCCTACGCCCACGCTACACCCTTCGTCGACCCGATTACCCGGCGAATGCCTAAGCGTCGCCACCTTTCGGCCGTCGACTCGTGTTTTTTTTTTTTAATAGAGGAAGGATCGTCGTTGCTCTCCTACGAATCTAGTTTTAACTACTTTCGATAATAACGAAGTTTCGGTGTCCAAGGATAACGGAAAGCTTACATGGCATATTCGGATTATAAATTACCATGCGTAAATGTATTGGATGTTAGTTTCGTGGGCGCTTACGTACGATTTTACGTTCGAATATACAACTTAAATGCTATTGAATCTCGAATTTTAGTATTTTATTCCTTCTCTTCCGCTTATTGGGAGACGGGAGCTGTCTCGTTCTCTCACTTTGGCGTTTATTTACCTAGGGAAGATCGAACGTCGTCGTCGCGGTCGGTAGATAAAGAAGCGTCGACTCTTATCGCCGTCAACCTCGATAAGAGATTATTTTCCTTTACTCGAAGGAAAAGATAGATCGATCGAAGACTTTCGGTCGACTTTTCCGGGAGAACGTCCGATTACGAAGCGTCGGTCTCTACGCCGTAGTTTTCCAACCTCTAGCCCACCTTGGGGTTACTTCCGGGCGCGCGCTCGTTCCTTTCCGAAGTCCCGAGTCGCTAGTTAGGCTCTAGATGGCACGCGAGTAAAATGACGTACGCTAAACCACCTTAATAAAGGTACACGGGTGGAGTAACAAAGTTTCCGGGAGGTTTGGTAATCGGGCGTTGCGGTAACCGTCTAAGCGGAGGGTCGGATTCGGAGGTTACCAAATTTAAGAGACGAAGAGCGAGGTTGGAGGAGGACTTTCGTAGAAATTATTGCACAAAAAGTCGTCTGAGAAAACGTTGGAAGTTATCTTCGGCGGTCGGCGCGCCGCTTCCCTTCGGGACTTTGCACCTCGAGCGCGGACGGTGAGCGACCTTGGACCGGCGTCAAGGCGCCACCTGGAAACCGTTCCTTCACTCTTTACAGGCTCCTTTATCCTTTCGTTTCTTAAACGTAACGCCCGGACGGGACGGAAAGTGGAAAAATCAGATTTTTCTACGCGAAGGAAGATATTTTGGACATAGGAATGTGGAAAAGATGATTGACTTCAATAGGAGCGAGTCGTTCTTTCCACATTCCTTTGTTTGTTTTTTCTCCCGGTCACCCTTAGTCCCCTTCTTCGCTCGTTCCGAATTCGTTGGTCAATGAGATAATCCGTCGCTATAAATTAACCGTAATCTCGCCTCCTTCCGGAATGTCGATTCGACGCGATTTCTTTGTTTTTATTTTAATATGTAATTAAGAAAAATAGTTATTAGAGGTAGATTGATATTATTTGTCGGAAGCCAGCCCGATTCTTTCTGGCAATTCGCAATCTCCTAGAATAGTATCCTCTTCGGGTGTAAAGTGGCGTTTAAAGATTCCTCCGTCGAATGTTTATGCAAAAATTTCGCAGGTGGAGCGAAAATCTTAACCTTTCGATTCCGGGAGATGCGACGGACGTAAGGATTGAATTATGGGAGGATAAAAAAAGCGAAACTTTAGAAGGGCGACACCGGAGAGAGTCGCCTGTTTACTCCCGGCGTCGAATTACTGCTAGGAGTGTCGACCCTTTCGACCCTAAAAACCTATAAATTCGGTCGTTCTTCGTTTCGAAAATATAAATCACCGTATTTATTTTTAATACGAGATTCTGATATGACGAAACTCCATTGCCGAGGCTAAAGAAATTTCTCTATTTCCACCTTAGCAGTTAAGTTGGTTCCATTTTCTTTTTCGTTATCCGCTCGTTAAATGGTGAATTGGTGCCCAAATTATCAGTCGTCGGGCTATTCACAAATGTATTCACACAATCTTATTCTCTGTCAACCTACCGCTATGGGGAATCCGGGATCTTATCTCGATTAACAGCCCCAAGAATTTTTCGTGGGCGATACATCGGGCCCCTTCCGTCATTATCCAATCGCCCCCATTAGGGTCGGGCTTAACCGAGGATGGAAAAAAGGCCTTTGGGAATTATTTAAATCTAAATAATTTAATGTTTAGACATTTTTGAATTTACGATGGGTCGAGTGGTGGGACGGAATTTTTCCTACTTGTTGGGTATGTTTTAATGTTTCGCTTATTTTAAATAGCCATTTTGGCTCTTTCTCGCCGTTCAAAAATTGTGAAAAGAGTATAATTTGAAGGTTAACTTTCGATGCAACTCCAGTAATCATCTTAATTATTCTAATTTACATTTTCTTACAACATGTGTGCGGTAGGGACCGCGTGCCATCGATTGTTTTCGCCAATGTCGATGGGAAAGTCTAACTAAACTACGTTTTTATTAAAACGAAGCGAGTAACAATTATATTTCCTGAATGTGGAGATCAATAAACTATCAGTTTTAATCAAAGTTTCAAAATCAATATGTCCTCGCAGATTTAAGTCCTTACAGAATGGCGTTTCATCCGTCGACGGAAGATTTATAGGTGGAGTCGTGGAGACTTCCTTCCCGAACGACGGACGACAGAAGGCCGCCAAATCTCCGAAAATTTGCGAAAGTAGAGCCAGTTTTAAGAAATTAGAGAACTTTCCTCCTAAGATGAAGAGTCTAATGGATTAATCGGACGGGAGGCAGCGCGCCGACGTCTCTATATAAAGGGGAGAAGTAGAGTCTATCGGATATTTGAGCTTGGCCGGAAGCACAATGGAATACGACTATGAAAAACTTGGACAAAAGTGAAATTTTCGAAACGCCATCGTCACGATTTAATCGCTGTTTAATAAGGGTATAATACTTTTGGAGAAATATGTAACACCATCAACTACCAATTATAAATAGTGATGAATAAATATTCATCACCACTATTTATAATTGGTAGTTTATAGTGTTACATATTTCTCTAAAAGTATCAAAATTCGAGTGATTGCCTCAGGTCTGGGATATAATTTCGTTGAAGTTTGTTTCTCTTATAGAATTATGCGTCCGAATGGTGTAATTAATAGTAATTATTTGACACGGACTCGATTCCTGTACGTAAAATAGATTAGCCTATTATTTAAAATATATGTAGCTTTTGAAACTTATTTTAAATTGTTTTAATTTTAGAAGCTATATCATTATTATTGACTTCTTATACTTGTTTTTGTTATATTTCCAAGCTAGTCTCATCCGAAGTTTAGATCAGACTCAAATCCTAGTGTATTTAAGTTGTAAGTTCAACAATTCATTCGGTGAAATGACGTGGATTTAATTTTTATACAACTATAATTCATAGAAAATATTGTATGGCGTTTGTTCTCGATCCTCCATTCTTATTTTAATATCACAAATTTCAAATAGAAAACAAAATTCCCATACTAAAGCATTACGAGGTGCCTATATTTGAGGGTAGCAACGTATCCAGTGGTTCTATTACAGTTTAATTAAAGGAAATGGCTTTATTACAGATGCGCATAAACAGGCGAACACAAAACATTGTTACCATCGATGGCGTTACGAAAATTCGACTTTTGGCCACTTTTTTTTATAGTCGTAGTCCATTCGTTCCTTCTTCGTATTGGTAGAAAGGTCGAATTCAAAGCCTCCGATTCGGCCATCGTCCGACGGATATCGAAATCGAGTCGGGTGGGATCGTCGCCTCTGTTCTAATTAGCATTTATTCTTATTTTTGGAGATTGTCACTCGACCGGATCAGCCTCTCGTCCGTAAGGTCGTGGCGTAATAACCGGTTCGTCCGCGTGTCTGTCCGTTCGTCCATTCGAACGTTATTAACCGGTAGTCGGAGACGAGGAGACGCGGTCGTCTATGTTTAATCGAACGTTAAACGGCGTTAACCAATCCGAATTTACCCGATTGCATTTATTAGTTGACGGAATTCCGCCACAACCCAGCCAGTGACTAATTCGGACGAGTTTTCCTCCTTTTCCGTGGGAAAAATTCGAGTCGTTTACCGCCACGGAAGTCGACTAAGTCGAGTTTTTAAACAAAATCGTTTAGAGTCTGTCCGGCGTTTAATTAAAGAACTCTCCCTCGGAGGCCGACTTCCTCCGGCTTTTACACCCGCAATTACGCTCTTATTATGACGTCATTAGGGACGAGTTCGTTTCCCTTTCGAAAAATAAATGCCTGGTTCCCAGCGGAGAAACTTATCGGTTTGTGGGCGGTCGGAGAAATCGAAGCGCCTCCTCGGGTGGAAAGCCATTATTCTCGGCGCGGTTCATCCCGAAACCGACGACGTTATCGTTCTCGTTTCGGTCACGTCTCGGCCCGACCGGTTGTGTTTGTGGGTCGACGACTGCCCGCCCCTTCGACAGTCGCCCCACCAAGAAGTTTTCCATCTTTCTTTAGAGGAGGTGGGCAATCGAGTTCCGCTTCTGGAACCGAAATTATTGGATCCGTTCCTGGGAATTTGCCTAGAATACGATTCACGGAATGCAATCAACGAATAGGAAACATTATTTCTTTGCGTATAGCAAAAGTGAAACACGAAATCACATTACTGTCAAGAGTATACTAATAAATAATGTGTTGTTTTGATTATTTGCAATTTATATATTAGTCGTAATTATAAATTACTAATAAAAATAAATAATTACGAACTCTGATAAATGTATATATATTTTTATTAATGTCTTTATTATAAATTTAAAGTACCCAAAACTTCAAAACTAATTTCATTATTCCTAAAATCTCGCCCACCGGTGCCCGGATGGATGAAACCATTAAACATTGATAGTTGGTCGTGGAGTTTTTCGGGTTTTCTTCACGTTACTAATTACCATATAAATAGGGGCCAGATTTCCAAAGTCTTTCCGGAAAACATTCCTCCTCGGCAGATGCCCGTGTCGCGTTAAAACCAAACCTAAAATCTCGTGCTTGTAGTTCTAAGTCCGGAATGGGTCCGACCTGCAACTACATCTTTCAATCTTTTTCCCGAGTAGTTTTCCGTGAACGAAACATCTTCCTTCGTTACCCGTTCCCCGGATTTCGGTAAAGAATACTTAAGGGAGGCGCGATATTTTCCGAGTAGAAGAGGAACCTTCTCCTTTTAACCGTATACTTAACAAGTACAGTATTGGAGTTAAGCGAATTGAAAAAACCGGATATAGTTTGAAGGGAATTTCTGGAGACCAATACGGTTTGAATGGTTCCGGTCGTTCGGTCGAATTCCGAACATTTACAGGAACGTAACCGGAAGAATTCGATTTTTCCGTTCGTCTTTACCCGAACAGAGAATTCCAAAAGTCGGACCGAAGAGAGGGTTAGGATAAAAGACCGATCGGCTTCTGGGAGACCTCAGAAGGCGTCTCTGGATCAGCCTGAGGAGAGTAACTTACCACACGGTAGTCCGAAAGAAGTGCCGGTCTGAACTCGTACAACCGATAGAAATGAATATCGGTAGATACAGTTAGATCACTCGAAATAGTTAAGAAAAAACTGATTCTCTTTCGGTAAAATTCGATTCGAACAGGGATTAGTGCTTGAATGGGTCCATTGGAGTCATTTGGAAGAGCTCTTCTTAAGCTTTGTTTGTTTAAGTTATGGCAACGCAACACTTGGGCGATCTGCCTAGGGGGGATGCCTTTCGGGAGATCTTTTTAAGGGAAACTGGCCCCTATTTAGACGTTACGGACGTGGACAAAACCCGGAAAACTCCACGTGGCCAGCCCATCCGAGCGAGGCGTGAACCCACGACCGAACTCCCAGTGTTCAGGATAGGAAGACCGTTTGGCTACTGGTGGGCCCTCTTCTTAAGCTCCGGACAGAAAAGAGCTTTTGACGGCTCAGGGAAATAAAGATTTCGCGTTTGGTCCTGGGTGCCGGGTTGCAAAATGTTTCGGTTTATTTGGTTTCGACAACGCGACAGGTGGACGATCTGCCGAAGGGGATGACTCCCGGAAGGAATTTTATGGGAACTGGCTCTTATTTGGATGTTATTAAAGTGAAGAAAGTCTGGAAAACAGCACGTGGCCAGCCCGTTGGAGAAGCGCGAACCTTCCCGACCTAGTGGATAAAACCAGGGAACAGTGTTGGGTGGTTTTATCCACTCGGCCACTGGCGAGCGGCCGAGTCGATGAAACCGCTCAGTGGTTTCCGATTTCGTCGGAAGGTCGAATTAAAAGATAGGCCGATAGAGAAGAGATTCTCCTTTTTCTCGAAGAGATGGTCTTTTCTTTCTGGTCTACCGCGTTTCTGGCTTTCTGCAGACTGTCGACGCGTCAAACTTTTTCCTTTCCGGTTTTTCGCTTTCCGGAATCGTTTATTCCGTCTCTGCTCTTCCGTCCTCCCGTCTCCTTTCCTGTAACCGAATAAAAAAATCTTTGGAAATTCCAGCCACTTCTAGTATTTACTTTCTTTATTTTTAACTTTTAAGTAGGGAGCGACACGATAATAACGATTGCGTTTCTCCACAGTCCGACTCGGATCTGGTGTTCGAAGACTTTTCTAACGGCGTCTCAGACGACACGTCGACGAGAAACGGCGTCGATCCTCTGACCAGTCCCCTGCTGAGGGAAGAAAAGCGGAAGTGGCTCGGTCCCTCGGACGACGAAGACTTCTGGTCCGACCAAGCCTCCGGAGACCACGTCAGCGGCGATGGTGTTGTCACTGGCGACGTCACCCCCGACGTCTACGGGACTCCGCCCACCGAGGCACTCGGTAAGTATCGCCATCTGGCGATCCTCTTACGTACCAAAGACCGCTGAAAAGTTACGTCCGCGCGAAGAGACCGGAAGTAAAGGATTCGGTAGTCGTTTCTACAGTTTACGGTAAACGAAACGAAAACGCGTTATCGGTTCCGTTTGGGTTCCGTCCATCGAGAACCGAAGAGATAGTTTAGCGGATAAAATCGTCCTTTTCCTAACAACGCTAACTGAAATAATCTCGGGGTATAGCTTGGAATTGGACGGGACCGGCAGCCTCCCTTGTGGAGTACCGAAAAGGGGCGTGATCCGGGTGCTGGGGGACAGAAAAGACTAAAAACGAGACGGGAAGAAAGGGACAAAAGCTCCATACCAGGGAAAGAGTCCGTCCGACGGTTCCGCGTTCCGTCAGCTACCGACCGACGTACCGGAAATAACGCAAAAGACGTACCGGAAATAACGCAAAAGACGCGTGACGTCACAGAGAGAAAGAGAAGAAACTATATCTAGACTGTCTTAAAATCGAGTTAAAATCCACAAATCGAAGGTCAAGAAGACTCTTCGAAAGCTTTCTCTTACCTTAAAACTATCGTTTTCCCGACGGATGTTGGATACTTTGAGTTTTCTTCGCTCCATCCTTTCCCTTAATTTTAAAAATGGAGTCTAATGACGAAAGCCTCCGTTTTCTATCCTTTTTCTAGTCGATTGGCGTCCAGAATAACTTAAAGTAGGGACGAAGGGAACCGGTCTTAATTGTGGCTCGTGACGCGCGCGACTGGAAAGTGCTTACGAGGACCAAGTTCCTCCGGTATACTCAAGTCGCGGTACACTTTTAATTGTTCTGCATAAATTCTTATAATCAATATATACATAAGATTATAAATTTATATTACATTTCTCAATTTTTACTTTTTATATTAGTTAAAGTACCGCGTAATATATTGTGTTTTGTTAATCCGGGTGAGGGCGGAGTAGCGCATTATGTGCATTACGGCAATTTCTTCGGCTCGTTGAATTCATCGAGTTACTTTCTAACTACTCTGTATTTATCTGATTGACAACACACCGTGAAAATGCTCTTATCTCATATACGCGTACGTTATGAGATGCTACAATATCATATTGCTCTCCTTCACTAATATCTTGAGAAACATATCCACTTGGCTAGAAAATACTACACCGCCCACAAATGGAAGTTTCTGTTATAAATTACTAAGCCGGTGTACTGTACATAGGATTTTATTGTAAAATATCCCCGTTTATAATCGAGACATGCCGGTAGTTTAGTAATCGATCTGGCAATGTAAATACTGTATTAATAAAATAAAACATTAACACTTGTGGCAGGTTTGGGGAATATTAGTGAGCCACAGAACTTCGGTTGGGAATCGTTGGGAAATTACTCGTTCGATATTTAGGGGATAATAAAGGAAAGCGGAGTATGCCCACCTCTTCTTCTGTACTCTATGTCGTACGGGCCTTCGTTGCCGAAGTTGTCATGTCATTCCTTTCGTTCCTCTTTTCGCTTCGAAAACAGAAAGTTTTCTTGGAATATAGACCCGGCAGGGTCCGTCGAATCCTGTTTTCTTCCGTAAATATCAGTCGGATGCTCGAAAGTAGCCGGGAAAAAATCATTCCTGTGGTCTTTCTTGGGTTTTTAATTTCGATCTCTCGTCTTTTCTCTGTCCCGGACGCTATTATCGCCTGTTTCCGAACGATGCCTTTTTGACACGTCCAGGACAAGAAAGAAATTTGGCAGACATCTTTAAAAGTTTAAACTGGATCGATGATTGTCAACCACGGGATGCGAGATACCTTTCCTACGGGATAGACTTTTTTTAATTAGTCTTTTCGAATGTTTCTTTATTCCTGTTTTTAATTGAGATCCTAGTCATTTTAAAAACCAGATCTTAACTCCCTAAATAAATAAACAAATATCTCTCGCACACCAAACAAACAAAAATAATTTCCTATTCCATTAGTTCGATTAGGAGGTGACATTTGTTCTTCTCGACCGCCGCAGCGTTGTATTAAATGTTCGAGCGAGTTACGAATAGTCGGTCGACCGATGGATCAGGCTTCAAAGAATAAGAAATGTGCAATTTCAATTTTGTGTAAGAATTTCCTAAATATAAAATCAAACGTTTTTGTTTTATCCGAACCTAGATCTGTAATTACGTTCCTTTTCCGTCGAAATATCTGTCTGTCGTGGTTAATATCCTCCCGTTCTCCGTCTTCCCTCTTTGTTTTTCGTCACCGGAAGCGACCGGAACCCGAATTCTTTCGTCGCCTGTTTATAAGATCCCGACTTCTTTCGGTTGTAACGACTTTTTTATTTTCAAATTTTGAACAGAGGAGACGATAGAAAAACTTATATTTTCCCTCCTCTTCGGCCAATGTATTATGCGCGCCTCGGAATTGTCTTTTTTGAGAGGATGGTTACAATTCGATGGGAAATAAAGGGACGTGGGACGACACGACGAAGACGTAATCTTATATCCTTAGAGGTTATTCGGTGATCTCCAGACAACAACAAAAAAGTAGAAAATTTCTTGTTGAAATTGACGTCGTTCCTCCGAGATTTTCCGAATGCGGATTTCCTGCCTTAAGAACGACCCAACCCAAAAGACCGAATAAAGATCCGACCGTAGATTAGGATGGCGGAGGCGACGGTAAGAGGAAGGGATGGCGGTCGCGCCTTCGGCGTCGGATCCTTTCGCGTATGTCCCGTTCCGAAGGAGACGGACGGCGACGTGGGAGCGTCCCGATTTTTCCGTTACGTAATTTATAATCACGCGAAGGAATTTCGTGAGAAATAGTATTGACGGGGGCGAGGAAACAGCAGTTTCCCGGATCCGTAATTTAAGTATGTTTTTCCGTATTATTTAGGAACGGGGACTTTCTCGTTTCCGTCAGCGAGTCGAGGGGAAAACGTTAAGAAAATAAACGGGAGAAGCGCGTGATTGGCCCGATAAGTAAGTTAGTAAAAGGGTTCAGTTACCAAAATTAGTTCTTGTATATAGACTCCGCTGGGCTCTCGACTTTGATTGGGAGTTTTCCACTGTCTTTCTGTTTCTAAACATTTTTTTTTAAACTGAAGTGTTTATTCCTTCCCCGTCGAAAGTACGACAGAATATTTTCCTGAGGATTCGACGAAAAATACCGAAAAGATACGACGAGGAGAGGCGAAGGTCGTAACAGGGGTGTAGAATTAAAGAACTTGCGGGAAGAGTGATTAAGAGCGCGATAATCGGCACGCGAAGACCGGGAGATCGGGTTGTAAAAGGACAATTTACGGGATGCATGGGGTGGTTCGACGAGACGCGACCTGGCGAAGACGATGAAGATCGGAGCGCGTCATCCTCCCAACACGCCGGTTGAACGATTTAATCAAACGATGCACGAAAACAAGGGAGGAAGTTGGTCAGAGATGTCTCGTCGGGAGGAATTAAACGATATAAACCTTCCGAAAGAAACGTTCTCTTCCCCCGAATAAGTTATTTGTATATTTTTTGCTTTTACGAGAAGAGTGACGTTCGGATAGGAATGCGCAATGCGTCAGTTTAATAGGCGAAACGTTTAATTCGGAAGATGGAATTAAATAATTGGAGGATTGAAACATCTTTTGGAGGATATAGGAGAAAGCTTCATCGAGTTCGAAACGACTTGGGTATCATTGTTATGTAAAAAAAAAACAATTAAATTAGGCCTAAACATTGTAAAAAGCGATATAGTTTTAGTATTCGTTTGCGGAGGATGCATTAAAGCGTTTCTTTTTCTTTTATCGCTTCGATTCTGCGATTGTATTGCCGGAAATTGCTGTGTTTTTCCTTAATCCGGAAATCTCCCGGATATCCATTTGCCTCCGTTTCACTTTCGACCATCTCCTTTCTTTTCTCCGAATTGCCAGATCTTTCATAATTATTTTAAGTAGAATCGACGGGTAAAAGAGAATCCGACGTTTCTCTTCCGAAATCGGAATTTTGTCGTATTCGACGACGAGAGTCGTCCTAATTCTTAATCGGCGACCTTCGAAGGAACAAAGAATAGTTTGTCCCTTTCCTTCCTCTTCCGTTCGCCCGACGTTCTTGCACTTTCTTAGGCGACAGGCTTTTTCTCCCTTTACCTCGCCGATAAAGTCGACCCGTAAGTACGCGAATTTGGATCTCTCTTTCTTCCACTCTCGTCGCGTACGCGCGCGCGACGCAAAGGAAATATCGGAAGCGTCGCGATTCCGCGTTCGGCGCCTCGCTGAGAAACTTAGAACCCGTCGATCGACTATCGATAACGGACCTCTTTCGGACTAGAGTGTCGAATTTCTAAATTGAGAGCGACAGGGGCGCTCCTTCCGATGTTTATCCTTTCCAAAAACGGTATCGAAATTGTCGAAGGAACCCTGACCTTAATGGGCACCCTCCGACTTTTTCGCCGATTAAAATTAAAGATCGAAACAATTCTTTACGTTATTCTTAATGGAAATTCGACAATCTGTCCTGTCCAAAGACTAAAGCTGTCCGAATAAGAGGGGGATAGACGGGCGATCGACAGGACTGTAAGAGGAGAGCGTCGGAAAGGTTTAAAAGCGAGGCCGAGCGAAGGTGGATCAAGAAAAGAAAAAGGAGAAGGTCATAACCCGAGAGGTTTACCACGGGAATTCGTTAGGTAATTAACCTTGAAGCGGGTATTTTAAGTCATTACAAAGTCTCCGACTCGAATTCTTCCGAAACCACTTACTTCACCCCGACACTATTCCCGGGAACGGGCGCGTTTCTGGTATAAATGCGCGCGTGACGCGGCGGCGTAGGGGTGGAGATCATCGACGCTGGAAATGGCGGTCTCCGCGTTGCCTCTGGTCTTTGGTGAGTACCAAAATATTCCTTTACTTCTCCCGCTCCCATTCATTTTTAGGGAAAAACGAAGTAAATTAAGTAACTTTAGATTTAAAAACAAATTATTCCGTTTCGAACCCGATTGTAAGAGTCTAGGGAAGTAAAACTCGCAATTTTTTTTTTTTTTTTTTAGCGAAACGGAGTATAATCGAGAGGAAGAATTTATGGTCCGTAAGCGGACGATTTGCGTAGGGAATTTAGCGCGAGGGAATGGGATCGGATCGGGTGAAAGACTATTTTATGTAAAAACGAAGACGTTGTTGTTTAGAGTTTGTGCTTTAATTGGCGTCCGCATTATAATAGCGCCCCGTTTCCTTCACCCGCCAATTATTTAATCGCGGCGACCTTCTAGAATTTCTCCAAATAATCGCTTTTGTTTCTTCAGTCGTTTCGTCTCTAAGGTTCCACGCGGAAACCGTCCTTTAAAAAAACCTTCGATTTCGTATTTGATCGTCTCGAGGGGTGCGCGCATGCAGTGACCCGTCGCGCGATTGCGCTCACGCGTCGCCCTCAAGAGACTCTAGATGCGTCGGAAAAAGGAAGAAGAGCGCCGTTTTCGCGCGTTTTCGCGTCTGTTGGATGAGACGAACGAAAACCGCGCATCGACGTTTGTTCTTCGGAGAGGTTTTTTTAGTCGACGTGTGACGTAATTGTCCTCCTCGGTACTTTCGACTCGACCTCCGGGGAATCGAGTTATTTCTTCCTCTATTTACGTCGACGGTTTTACGACTCTCCTTCCTTTTTCCCGTTTACTTCTTTAAATTAGCGGAAACGATCCAAACAATTAATCTTTTATGTATCAATTTGTTTTCCCACTTGTCTTTTATTCTTTCGCTCCACCCTGTTTTTTAGATTTTTCTTCCTTGTTCCTTTTTTAAAGAACATTTTCTTTCATTGGTACAACAGTGTGTTAAGACTGATCATTCTGTCGATCTTTAGAGTAATTTCATAGCTTTGTTGTCCCAACCAACCCATAACTTAACGATAACTTTCTCAATTAACGCTTTTATCGAAGACCACCGAAGATGATTCTAGTAGGAATGCTTTCTATCATAAAGAATTTTCAATGTTTCCTGCGTGAAAGGTTTTTCTGGCGAACCACGGGAGACGATGCGCTATTTTTTGCCCAGCGGTGGTTTCGGGACTAATTTGTTCCTGCAGCGTTCTCTTCGGCCCTGTCGATGGCCAAAGGGAGAGAATAGGAACCACTCGGGACTTTGTTATTTTTGTAATTGATCTAACAGCATGCAACTTTCTCACTTCTCTTTTTTTTACTCGTTCGAATTGTGTAGTTTTTCCGTCCTTCTCGAACATGTTGGTGTTCTTCGTAATGGCGTCACTAGCTGGTGCGGGGGTGCTGACCGCGCCGAGTGACGCCATCGGAGATGATACCCAAAATAACGCTATGAAATTTTTGCGCAGTGTTTCAGAATAAATTTATTTTTCAAAAAAAAAATTGCTGTAGTTAATTATAAAATCAAACATTTTTCGTAAACCTACAGTAGCTTACATGTATCAATATACTTACAAAGATGAAACTGTGTTAATTTACTTTTCGATTCTTCTAATGGACTCCTATCAAAGTTATAAAATATTTATTGTAATTTTGAAATTTTACAAATATAATACAAATTGCAAAAATAAATAAATAAATAAATGTAAATACACTGTACATTTAGGTTCTGCTTATGATGTAATTTTAATTTTGCTAGTTGTTTGTTATTGCGTAATTTCCGTATATTCAGTAATATACAAGAATTACGATTTGCGAGTACTGTAATATATGTTCTGTACGTACAACGAACATTACTAACGATTCTGTGTGGTCTGCTACGAAAAGAGAAGTCCTTGCGATGACACCGACCTTAGAGACTCCGCTTGTTCTTCCTCTTACGTAATCAGCCTTTTTCGCGGAAATAATACTCATTTTTCTATTCTGAAACCGTCTATATCAATTTTCTATTTTAACCATGGTTTCTACGCTGTTGTTTGCCATTTAATTCTTGTCCTATCTGTTATTTTTCAGTATTTGGTCTTGGAATGTTCGTAGTTTTCGTTTGGGAAGCTGGAGGATGGCAAAAGAGCGAGCATAAATGAAAATGATCTAACATAAAGATAAACAATATCCTCGGATCCTCTTTTCTATCTTTTATATTCGGAGCTTCTGTCTACTAAGAGTTGAGTCATAAAGACCGGATGACCAAAGCGATTTAGGGGTCAGCTTACCACTCTGGGGAACCCGGGACCAAATCCGGAGAGAACGAGCATGAAACACTAGAAATTTTTCGTATCCAGTTTGTACCGGATATGTTGGGTCCCGTTCCCTCACCGTCCGGCCCTCCCCATTGTTGATTTAGTCACTCACGATGGATATGAAAAGAGACTCTCTTGTAAATTAGTGTCCACGGGGAGGAGAGAATTAAAAGTGAAAAGGGAGTTGAGTTATTTATTTTTTGAGATATTAATCTCCGGGATCGAGGGAAGCCTTATAGAATATAACGTAATAAGCGAAAAATAAGTCGCCTGAACGTAAAAATCGATTTTAATTAAAAAACCAAGCTGACGTCTCAATTATTTCAGTAAGAAAAACGTAAACTCGATCGAAATACTGCGGTTATAATTCCCGTTGTTTCACGTGGTCATCGTAACCAGACGAATCTCGTCCATATAAATTTAATCATATTTTTAAACTCTGTCCTTTATCTTCGTCTCTAATAAACTCGTTTAACCTCCCGACATTCTACCTCCCTTTTTTTCGTTGAGGAGGAGGACATCGTTTGTTTTCCGACTTCCTCCTTCATTTCGACCTTTACCGAAGAGTGTGTTTTTACTTTTAATAAAATTATTCAACTCTTCCGTCTACTTTCGAATGAGATAGATAACCCGACAGGACGGAATTCTGGCAGATGGAAACAACGGACGGGATAAAGGGAAGATCCGAACATTGACTTTAAAAGAAACGAATATCAAATTATTCAATCGTCTAATAATTTAGTTTCCGATTTTCTTCGTCTTCAGTCTTTACCTTGGTAAAACGTTTCCTCTTTTTAATGTTCGCCATTTTCTTTCTACTTTTTCACGATTCCTAGAAAAAGTCTCCAAAGTTTCAACACGGGAACTTTACAATTAAGAATCCGTCCGGTTGGAAGGGAGGACTGGTAATTCCATCCATCGATTGGGATTTAATTGAGTGCACGAGTGAAGAAAGCCACCGCGGAAGAGACTTTAATTGGTGTAACGCGAGTAAGGAGGAATAAATGGGTACTTCCATCGCTTTCGCACCAGAAAACTTAATTGACGACTCTGAAGTGTTTATTCTTCTGCATGATAAAATAATTATTGTAGTTACATAGAAAAGTTTTCCTTTTTCTTTTTTTTCAGTGTACCTGAGAATGACGTTTCTTGTTCTCAATGAACCTTATCGGGCGTCTCTGCATGATCCCCGGAGTGCCGAATTTCACCAACTGTCCAACGAAATTGCCACAGGTCTCAGAGACATTTATCGATATTCTCCGGACGTCAAGATCATCAATGTCGTCTCTTTTAAGTCAGTCCTCTTGCTTCTTCCTTCCCTCTATCTTTACTAATTTACTTCGTCGTTAATTGAGTGATGATTATTTTTCAGACCCACCATCCATGACGGAAGGGAAGGACTGTTGGTGACGTCGGACGTGGGTTCTTCCTTAAATTCTAACCAGTCTGCCTTGGCGAATCAACTGAGAAACTCTGTCAATAGGGGATATGTCGGAAAATTCGTCACCTCGCCCGAACAGTTCACCTTCAGGATAAGACGTAAATTTTTTTTTCTTGTTTTCTTTGTATTTGTAGTAACCATAAGACGGCAAATGAGCCTTTGACCAACAATGACGAAATATGGCCAAAGACGACTTTACCGTCGACCTATCCCGGATATCAAAAAACTTTCTAAAGAAGAACCCAAGCGTTTTCTTACGCGTTTCACCAATTCTTTCGCTTTATCCGACATGCTAATTTTAAGCGTGTAAGGGAAAAATTCCCTGTTTTCAGAATCAATATTTGAGAGGATTCTTCTTCCTCTACTAAGCATTGTTTAAAAGTATTCTTAAAATTAGAAACGTGCCTTTGCTGGATGTAGGAATGAAGTTACTTATATGAGAATTGAGCACACTTAATAAAGCAATTTCTTCAATAGAAATTGTTTTTAAAATTTTTCTATTAGGCAGATAATGCTGAGGTAACATTATTGTATTGCATTCGGCACTATAGTTTGTAATCGTAATGTCTGAAAATAATATTTAAACCGACTGGATGAGTGATGAAAGACAGCTTTAACTTAATACAGTAATAGCAAAATTTAAAATAGCGTTTAAGGATCTACTTTTAATAGGCTGCCAGGTGACGTGACATCTTCCTCCGCAATAATTTCTTATTTCCATAAAATCACACTTTTAAACATAGCTTTAAATGTTTGGATTTTTAACGAAACGACTTTTGTTCCTATACTACTCGTTTAGTCTCATAGTTCAAAATATGAAATTTTACTTTTCTGGTTGTTATATATAACAGAAAGTATGACAATCTGTTAGATTTTTACAATTTTGGACTTTGAAACATCAAGAAATATCCTTCCAAGGGTTTTTCTTTCTCTGTATGTGTGGATGTTTGGGAAGCATGATTTTTTCACCTACTTTGAAGCTTAATAACTCTGTGCCTTTTTGTCAAAATTTTCTGAACTTTTGCAAGGATGTTTATATATTAGGAAGAAATGTTTCTAGAAAATTTCAGGAAAATCGGACTATTGGTTCGGGAGATATTAAAGGGTTTTTTTTTACTCTTCTGCCCTGTGGATACTAAGAGAGCCTCTTTAAGCAAGTCCATTATGGGTTCGGCCAGACCCACAATGGGGTGGCCAGGTGGTGAGGGACGGGCCCGACATATCACCTGGAAAAAATTCCTGGGAATTTTTAGAGCCGTCCGAATTCGATCTCTGGTCCCCCAGAGCGGTATGCTAGCCACTTGACTACTCGGCCATCCCGCCATCAATATATTAAAGGGGTTTCAAAAAGCTTCCAAGTTTTAAATTTTTGTTTTTACTCGTACAAATTTTTAGTTTACCAAAAAATAAATGTATTTCGAAAATTGTTTTCTAAAGTTTTATTATAATTAATAATATAAAAGTTATTTTTTTAAAATAAAATCTCATAACAGATGGCGCCACACACAAGTATAACCTTGCTAACGTGCTTAAACGTAAATACTTTTTGCCGGGAAATTTAAGTAACACGTTGTTGGATTTTTTATGTTATTAATTAATTATAATTTTCATTAAAATTAGACCGAAAGTTCTCTGTATTGAAGTGGTGGGGATGATATTTTGAAAATAGTAAAATGATCCCTATTTTCCGAGTAATCATTTGTATTATTAGTTTTCTATAATTCCTAAAACTTAAAGATAATGGCAGCAATTATTAGGGATGGAAACAAATAACAAATGCCGGGAAAGCCCAGCAACAATATTGCCAGCTTTTACTTTTATTAATCATTTGAAAAAGCATTAGGAAGTGTATGCAGCAATACGAAAATAAAAGACCAAACTCTTCAATAGAGAGAATGTTTTTAAAATGAATTAGGTGAATTCATTAAGATCTTTGTGTTACTTCTACATGCTTATTTCGAATGAATTTATAATCCAAGTTTATTTTTTAATAAGATATTAAATTATTTTATTCTGAAATGAATTAGACATTTCCCTCAAAGATATTCGTAAACTAAAGTTCGTGTTTATCTAAATAAATACTAAGTTAATATTCACATTTTTCTGAAACTAGGTGTCATTGACTGTGAAGGATTTTATTTTGTGTTTTTAATTAGAATAATTAAAAACAATTGGTCATACTCTATATATGGAGAATTTTATACTTCATAACAGTCTCCAGGCATTTTCAGTTTTAATATTTTTGTTTAATATTCTCTTATATTACAAATAATGAGATACAGTAATTCCTCCATATACACGAGTAATTGGTTCCATAAAAACAGCATGTAAATGAAACTGTTGAACTTGGAAAGCTGTTTAAAATAGAGATCTGTTCTATATTCTCAAATACAGATTTTACTCTGACTGGAGTTTTAACTAAAGTTTTTTAAACATACATTTATATAAGATGTTACTAATGATAAAAATTATGCTTTTCGATTTAACTATCATTTATTTCCATAAAGTCGATTTTTATTTAAAATTTTTAACTGCTTTAAAGTGCATTTGTGTAGACACCATGTAAAGAGAGATTACTGTATATAAAGCATTGATATGTTTTAATGGGAAGTGTCATTATATTGTTCTTGGACATGCATAATTTATTTCAAAAATTATACAGCATTTTCAAAATGTCTCTCCATTGTGGTTATTGTAGGTTTTAGTTGTTCCTTTCAGCTTATTAATACATTTCAGGTGATACTTGTTCACCAGACAACATGACTTTAATATAGATGAATAAGCAAGCCAATGATATAGTCTATTTTGTTTGAAATGAATTGACATTGTCTTGTTTATCCAGCTGTGTTAAAGCCACTTTACTATACAATGTGCGTGTGTCTGCTTCATTCTTTCACAGCCATGAATAGGCAATTTAATGTGTTGTTTGCATGTGCTTGGTATCTTGATTTAGTATAACCTACAATACCCACTGTGGAGAGACTTTTCAACTGTATTTTTGTAATCCACTTAAAAAAAACAAATATTTATTTAAAAAATGTACTATTAATAAAATTTTTCATAAATATTCAGCTTGAATGCCATGTTAATTTGCATATTTATAATAATCTGTTTTTTATATGAGAGTCTTAACTCCCTTTGCCACTTGGCAAATAGACATATGTTATATATAATTTGTCTAAAATGTGCATTCAAAAACTTTCCAAGAAAGTTTACAGCGGATTCAAGTTTTGACTTTACTTACTGTATTTACTCTAATATAAAATGCATCTAAATTCTTACATGCTCACCTGTGAATTATTATTATTTTTTTGAAAACCAACAACTTGAGACAAATTTCTGTGTAAATTGTTCAATATTTATTGCAAAGTGAAGTAAGTTACCATGCAATAAACATCATTGTCTTCCATGATATCAAAGTTGAAACCTCTTCACTTTTCATGTTACTCTTCTTAATCAGCACTGGATTTGATGCTCACATCTTCCATACAACCATCTTCAGTGTCATTGGAAGCATCACAAATGCATTTCTTGAAAGAGTGCTGTGTATCTTTTTTTTCTGTGACTTTTAGTCTGTTGTTATGACATTACTGTAATACTAATAACAATGAGCTACGTTGTCTTTTAAATATTTTCTATTATGAATATTGGTATAATGAAATTATTAAAATGATGCAATTGAATTTGTATTTAAAAGAATATGGACTTATTATTTTCAAGTAATGAAATTTTTTATTTTTTCAAAACTATTAATACATCTATTTGATTATAAACATAAGTGAATAAAGGTCTAAAAATAATAATTTAAATAATTACATAATAAAAAAATGCTAAATAACTGAAGGAGCCAACAAATTAAACAGAATAATACAAAATAAAATACTTTTTTGAAACTTGCACATCTCAGCCTTGGATCTCACTCAACAGTTTTTAAGTCAAACTCATATTTGCATCAATGTTTTAAGATTTCGTATTCAAAGCATTCCTTAATTAATTAATTAATCAAATAATATTTTGAATTGTATTGTGCACAGTAGCTTTTTCTATTTTCTGGAGTATTCTAGTCACTTTGTCATTTGAATTTCATAACACTATATAAATACTCTACTGATTATGATACCTCAGCATCCATAACCATGCATAGTTATCTGCATACTTTTGTGGGGAAATCTGCATTCGTGTCTGAGTCATATTCTCAATTTTTTGTGGTGATCTGGTCTTAATATGTTAGGCCATATCACTACACTTTCTCTATTTGTGTTTGCATTTGAATATTTTTGCAAAGGTATTTGCAACACTACTAACAATGTGACCTGAATTAGAGAAAAACTGGACAAATATGTGCAAAAGTAGTGGCGAAGACATGGCAAGATATTCCTGAACTGACCATCTCAAAGTGGACAGTTGACTGATCTGTAATTGGGCTGAAATTTGAAAAAATTGTAGACCTGTAAATTCCTGTTGTCGTCCATCTGTCTGTCTTTCCTTAATCTTGGGAGCAGAGTTAGATAGATTAAAGATGAGACTATATATGGAAACATTAGGGGCAGGATACTCCACTTAACTATGCGAACTTCCAATGCAAACTGGAAGTCATGTTATTTCAATTCAAAAATTTTTCCCTGAAAGCAGTTAATAAATAATCAGCACAACTCCAACCTTGCTAATGGAAAAGTATGATGTACAGGAGCAAGACACTACAGTATTAATTTGAGATGGAGAGCATATATTTTAAATGAAATAAATTAAAAATATGATTAAAAATTGTTGCCCAGCATTGTGACAATGTCGCAACAAATAATTGCTTGTTCAAAAATCATTCTAATTCAAAATCCTTTACCCAAAGAATATACATGGATAGGATCAAAAACATTAGTTCTACTGTTCATGATTAGTTACTGGAGTTATTTATGGTTCTTTAAGGTATTTTTGTGCTGTTTTTATTTCCGTTCTTTTTTTTTTTTTTTTTTTAGATAAAATTATTATGAAACAATATTAGATAAAATATTTTTTAGGAAAACGCATAGTAAAGTGTTACTAATATATTAAATGTGTTGTTATTTTACCGTAATAGTATTATAACATTAGATTTATAAATAATTTATATAAAATTCCAGTTTAAACAGAAAAAACCTTGAACTTTTAAAAAATGACTTTGTGATAATATATTATATTGTTGAAAGTTTTTTTAGAACGCTTATCTAATTTCAGCAAACTTCAAGCACTCTAACCTTTCTTCAGATAAAAATTTCTCAGTTGAATATCAAAATGAGATATTAATTTTTTATCAGATATTACTGTTATATTAGTTATTCAGTTTTAATATGCTTGATAAATAGAATATGCCAGTAGTTTTTCTAAAAAAGGATTTATTAGAATTCCATTGATGTTAGAAGCAATAACAAAAGCTCTTTTAAAGTTTTAAGAATCATATTCCAGTTTTACCTCCTATTGTAATATTTCAAACATAAGCAACTATAACTCTTCTAAATAATTAACAATATTTTCTATTTTCAAGGAATTAAAAATATCACTATGTCAAAAATGTTTAGTAGTTTTATGTTTTTGTTTTCTTCTTGCAGTTAGTACCACTTCAATAATTACAGCAATTCTGATATGAGAGATTCTATTACTAGCAAGCTAGATACTCAGAGTTGTATTTATCCAGCAAGATCATTTTTTCCTGTTGTTTCTCTTTGCAACTATTATCGTAGTAAAAATGTTATTTGAAATAATTTGCTGTGGTAAATGGTATCAAATGATATAAATTGATGTCAACTGGCAGGAATTGATATTAAATAACAAATGGCGAGTCATCTGCAATCATTTATTTTGAATAAAAGACTTATTAAATAGTGGAAATAATATGAATTGTTGTCAAATAACCTTTTAATTTTTTAAAAATGTTTTCAAATATTTTAATTCCAAATATTTGATCCCAATTGGCATCAAATGATATCAGTTAATATGATTTGGTCACTTGAAACTGTCCAAAAACTACTTCAAAATGATAACCAATATCAATTAAAAGTGATGTTATTATTATGATAACTACTGATGATAAAATTAAAGCTTTTTTATTTTTATCATATCAATAAAAAATGAATATGATTAAACCATCACACAAAATTTGATTTTGGAATATAGCAGCATATTTTTTATAAGAAGTGGAGAAAAAAGTCTTAATCCTAATACTTGAAGTCTTCTGGTGCTTTTCATCAAGAATTAAGATTTCTTCTCTATCTTCTCCATTTAAACTAGTTTTTCTTTTACTGATTTTTCATTTTCAGAAAATAATTTATCCAAAAATTTTGCAAATGATTATAGTTTTAAGTAGTTTATCATTAAAAGAGCTCATTTGAAAAATGTATTATTTTACTTTGACTCATTTTGACCTTTTCAAGTTTATTAATTAAACATAATTTAAAAATTTTAAATCTAGAAGAAACAAGCTTAATTCTCAATTTCTTTTACTGATTGTATCTGTGAAATTTTTGCTTTTTTTATAAAGTTGAAAAGTTTAAAATGATTTATGAAATTTGAACTTTAAATGTATAATGTTTAATTTAAAAGAATTTTTAATTTAACTCATGAAAGTTTTAAAGTTAATGATAAATTAGAGAAAAATATTATGTATTATAAAATAAAAATTAAAACTAATACTTTTATCTTCATTACTAAAGACTAATTCTTATATAATATTTTCAGTTCCTCCAGATACACCTACTATTTCAACTCCTTCTTGTTCTAATGATGAATTAGCTTGTCACTCTGGAGAATGTGTATCCTTGAATAAGAGATGCGATGGTTATCATGATTGCCGAGATGGATCTGATGAGAGTGGATGTCGTAAGTATAACACAGGAAAAATATTTTTCAAAGATATAATTTATTGCTTGCATTCATTACTAATTTCTGGGTAAGTAATAAATGCTATCCAGAATTGCCTGCTGTTTCTTTATGATGATGATAATTTATTCTGAGCTAATAAATCTATAATCAAACTAATTTAACTAAAATTAATTATAAATTAATTTAAATCAAAACAAACTACTTCAGAAGATTTATTAACAATTCTTTTCTTTGCATGTAATTTTTTTAATTAATCAAAATTTTGTTTTATAACTGAGAATGAATGTAAGTTTTGCATGTATCATAGTGTGTAGAATTAAATGTGTAGAATTGTTTAGGGCATGGCATAGTATCGCTCCCATTTTGCATGCACAGGTGATGGAAAGTTATGCCGTAGCGATGATCAAATATTGTGCCGGGACGGTACGTGCATTGACCAGGTTCGTCTTTGTGATGGTGTCAGTGATTGTCCGATGGGAGATGATGAAGAAAATTGTGGTAGGTGCACTTTGTCTTTATGAAATATTTTACAAAAAATTTTCAGGTAATTTTTTTGTTTGCATGATTTTTGATGCATGTGAATGCTTTCTGCTATTTCTAGGAAAAAATTATTTTATGTTAACAACTTACAATTTGGTAATATTTTTTATAAATAGAATTTTTGTTTATTCCTACAAACTTTTACATTTCAGAATTAAAATTTTAGTATATAATCATTTTGTTTTTCAATTTAATTTTGTTTGTTGTTATTTTTAAACTTTATAACACTTTCATTTTTTCATAATAAGTAAGAAATATCTTTATTATTATTAAAAATATATTTGTAAAATTTTGACTACTGGTGATAATAAATTCACTTGTCAAATTACTTAAATCATTAGAAATTACATACATAATAGGATATAAAGTTTATATTTAAAGGATTTTATATACAGTATATAATAGTAGCATAGCAATTCATATTTTTAGAATTCATATTTACTTAAAAACACCATTTGTTAGACAATTAAAAACATATTTTTTGCATTTCTGTTATTAAATATACATTTTTAAATATTTCTAACATCAAGTTTCACATCGTAGAAAAAGTATGTCATGCAAGTCCTCCAGGTTGAGGGCTCTACTGTTCTAAGGTAGCAACAATATATTATTTTTCAGAAACAAACTATTTTTTTATTATTAAACAAGCATAATAAATTTCATTTATATTATTATTATTACTGTATTAATATATAATAAATATATCAAACACATAGAAATTGGGGAGCTCTCTGGCTTAAGCTGTCTCCATGCTAAAAAGTCAGATGCTAAAAAGTAATAACATTGTTTTGACGAAAAGTGGAATCGCTGTCTAAGTATTTAAGATAGCAGTATTCACTTAAAATTGATATAAATGATACATTGACATCCTCTTTATATCTACTTATCAGGAGATAAATTACTAACAGGACAAGTGATAATACTTTAAAACTGTTAAAATGAATTTATATTTTCCTTTTATTCCTAATGTATATAATTTTCAAAAAATACACGTATTTACTTTAATGAATTTTTGCAATCAATTTAATCAATCAATGATTAAAGTGATTAAAATAATATATATTATAAAATTATTAAATGTTTTATTAATGATACAAAATAAACATAAATTGCTAAAAGCAATAGTTCTGTTAATATTAAGAATTAAAATTATGGAAGATAATTGTTATTGATGAGCTGATATTTATGAAGTAACAAATGTTTTTTTAAGTTGACAGTTATAATAACTTCAGATATATGTCAGAAAATTATATAAAACATTGTACTATATTCTGTTTTATTACATGCTAACTTTTTAAAATATGATTGAAACTTAAATATCAATTTATATTTGAAAATAATTTTAATGTTAAAAGATTGATTTAAATGGAGGACTTCCATATTGACAAGTAATGTCATAATCTTTGTTTTGTGTTATCTTTTCTATATCTTTTATGATAAATTGAAGCTTATTGTATAAGATATTTGAAGCACTGGTTCTATTCAGATGTTTGTTTTTATGATCCAGATCTAAATATGATAAATATTTTCAAAAATACTTCTCAAGTTTTTCTTCAAGACTTCTTTAGTTTGAGAAATTTGATTTTAACTCTTCTTTAATATAAAAAGAAAGTTATATCTTTATTTTAAAGTTTACATATTAAGGAGTTTCAAAAAGTATGTAAATGTAAAAATTTAAACACAGTATTACAATAAATTATATGTAAAATAAATTTGCGATGATTGAAATAGGTTATTCGAATTTAATCATATAATAAGTTATTATCTGTAAAGTTTTACAGTATTAGATTTTCATGAAAATGAAAATCTAATCTTATTTGTAAAATACAAATTTCCCTTCAGGCCCTCATTACCCTCTGGACAGCCCTGCAACTTATATGGAAATGAAGAGTTTATTTAATGTATGTATAAGATACTTTTCAGTTGAAGATGTTGAATAGATTACATAAGAAGTTGATAATGAATCTGCGAATAAAAAAACGCACACATAACGCCGACCTCAGTGCCTTCCCTTTTTTACAAGATAATGAATCTGTAAACTATATTAAATCTGCAGAACAAATTCCCCAGATCTGATGCCTAAATTATTGATGAACTAAATAAATGTAGTTTATTATTGCCCACTTTCAAAAAGAAGTATAAAAACTGTTATAAACATCCTAATTAAATATGAATTTAAAGAATCATTCAACAGTGTAAATGAAGCTATTCATGAGTCAAAAAGTGATTTTGACTTTTTGACTCATGATTTTGTTTGTGATTGAAGTTTAAACAAATGCATGACCATTAAATATGATTTTTCAGCAAATATATAGAACTCAGCATGGACAATATCATTACAATGCTGAAATTTTGAAATTTGATCTGTGGGCTGAAATAATAGAAATCAAAATTTACCATGTAAAGTCTATGGGCTGATTACCAGTTGTAAGCTGGTTGCATGCTACATGTCAATTGAGTTTATGATTGCTGTTAATTTACTTTGATCTCTATGACAGTTTTTTATCTTGACCTTTACAATGGGTGTTTAGCATGCACAGTGTCATGATGAAATTATTGTTTTGGAAAAAACAAGCACATGTGTATCTTCTGGCCACATATTTTTTAAACTGATTGCTGTAGTTTGTATGCAGTTGACTGCAATGTGGGTGTTTTAAACATTTCTTGACATTTTTGTCAGTTAGTAGGATAGACATGCATGTCTAATGTTCTGTCTAAAAACATTAGAAGCATGTCTTACCATACTTATATGTTTGTGTCAAGCAGAAACAGAAAAACATACACTGCAGAGCTGTTTTGATTTTCTAGATAATGCCTAGTTAATTTATCCTTAATAATTCATCTTGGTTTCATTTAGTATAAAAATGGGAATAGAAAATTATAATTTTATTATCAAAACTTTTGTATAATAAGAACACAAATACTTACTTACAATGGATTTGTAATATCTTTATCTAATTTCTTTTCTTATTGTAATAAACATACATCAATAGAGTGGATGAATACAATCTTAGATAATATAGAGGGCTCAACATAATGCTTACAATTAATTACACCAGCAGAGTAAAAAATTATGGAAATTCATAATAATGAATGCAAATATAACATTTAAGTATGCTTTTAAATGTGAAGAGTTCTTGTAACTGTCATCAAAAAGACTGAAATTTTAAAACACTTTTATATATTTATTTTTTTCTAGAAATACTGTATTTCATATGTATAAGATAATAGAGATAAAAACTTTCTAACAAAAGAGTTATAACATTTTAATTCTTTGCACACTTAAACTTCATAATGTTTTCTTATTTGCATATTATCATACAATGTAAATTCATATGTGATAATATGTAATAATGACACGATTTATCATATAATATATGCTAATAGTTAGTTAATTTATGAGATTTTAATTATCTTTTTGTTATCAATAAGTGATCATTCATAAATTACACAACTCTATTTTTATACTTTTAAACTACCATACTACCCCCTGTAAAACACTATAATGTTGTCACACATACTTATGCCCAAAATCATGTATCTCATATCTTTGGTCAATCTCCTTAAATGTATTAACGAATAATACACAGCATAAAATAACGTAATAAACATTATATTATTTTATTAATTACATGTATAAGGTACAAAGTAGTAACAGACAGTACAGTTTTCTATGCAATAGTTCAGAAACAAAAATTAATCATTCTATTAATCTAACAAAACATTACATAACATACATAACATCTTTGTAAACATCCCCACTTGTAATTCATAACACCACCCATCCACCCACCCATATTGGCATTATATAATTTATGTATATGGACAGCCTCCAATATACAAAGTGATTTTTAACAATTAAAGTTAGTCATACCTTTTATTTTTTTTAGAATATCTGCTATTTAAGAAAGCAAAACATTTTGCATCTCTTTTTACATTTTTCTTATTCTAAAATTAGATGAGTTTAATATTTTAATAAAATTACATTATAAGAAGACACTAAACACACCTTACACACTTCTCCAGCAACTAAATTTAATCAAAACAAACCTTTTTGGCCAGATTGATAAGGCTTCTTCAGGTTACAGAAGGTTTATCATTTAGGCTGAAAACATTTCTTTTGATAAAATTTAGTTGCTGAAAAAATGTGTAAGGTATGTTTAGTGTCTTCTTATAATGAAGTTCCAGCCTAGATTATTATTGATAAAATTACATTATCTAGGTAGCATTTAATTTAATTTTATACAAAACAAAATATCAGATAATTTTAAGCTTCTGCCTTTCAAAACATCAGGTATAAATAATTTAATGAGAATGGCATAATTTTAATGATAAAGTAGCTAAAAAAACCCTGTTTCTACACAGTTTTGTAAGAAATGGTTTAAGGTTATAGAGGTTTAAAGTTAAGATAAAATGTATTCTATTATTTCTTTGTATTTAAATTTGAAGTATATTCTGAAAGTTTTTCTGTAATCTTATTTATTCTAAACTGAAGACACCCAAGCAATAAAGACAAAAGTACTCTTATTTCTATATTCTTATTGTTGACATTGTCTTATCAAATTATTTATAAATGAAATCACATTAGAATAGTTTATTTAATATTCAAGGATTGATAAGAACCATTAATATTTCATTTTGTTTTTGTTTATTTTCCTATTACTTCTTTTTACTGTTAGAATAAGGAAAATATATAAATTATTTAATATCTATAAACAATCTATATTAATGTCTAAATTTAGATTAAAGAGATTTAAAAATTTGTATTACACATTAGCAAATTTTAAAATTTTTAATTTCTTGGATTTGAAATATCTGTTTCCATTTGTTCTGCTCACTAACTTAACTTTTGTTAAAAAAAATAATAATAAGAGAAAGCTTATAAATAAATTGATTACTTGTATATGTGTCAGTTGGAATAAAAATGAAGATAAAACAGTTATGATCAAATATAATTA